ACATACGCACACACACACACACACACACGCACGCACGCACGCACGCACGCACGCACGCACGCACGCACGCGCGCGCGCGCGCTTACACGCACGCACACATACGCACTTTCATGTCAGTCTGCTAAAATACGTCTGCTAAAATACGTCTGCTAAAACACCCTAGGAGCCAGGGCATGATTGTGTGACATTCTACTCGTTAACATAAAGCATTTTTGTTCATTCATATGTATATATATATCTTTTATTCCTTGGTAGTTTTTACAGCTTCAACGTGCGTATTCGTATTCGTGAAATATTCGTATTCGCATGCATATATCGTGATACGTATCGTATTCGTGACCTAGTGTATTCGTTACAGCCCTATTACACAGTCATGCTTGTTTTTAATTTGGGGTGTGTCCAATAAAAAGTCTTGTTGCTCATATATATGCCGTGAAATACGGTACATAATTTCACTTATGTAAACGTGTTTTATAAGCTATATACGAAGGATCCGGATCACACTGTCAATCAGGAATGAGAAATAATCTGACAAAGGCGTTTTTGAGAATAGAGTACACGTACATGAAACAAATTCCAAACTCAAGATATTACATCATTTAACTGCCTAACTATACATTTGTTTATGCATTAAAAAAGAGTTTGATGCTTTCTAATACACCTATACTGTGATTGTGCCACAAGGTCAAAATACAACTCCCTGCAGATATTTTTTATGGTTTTAGTAAACTGCTATTATTTGTTTTAATAGTAATTTTATTAAACACACTAGGTAGGGTACAATACAAGCAATATGGCCAGCCGTACTAATGATTAGTATCAAAATAATCTTACAACCCACTACGATTTCTATCCCTAAATGATCCCTCAATTACTGGAATATTATTTGTTCAACAGAGTTCTCTGCTCTTCCTCTTTTTCCCAACGTCCTTATATACTTTTTTGGTTTTACTGTGTCTCTAACAGTTGTTGAGATTTAATGATATTATACTGTATATTTCCTTCATCTTCATTTTCTCCAGCAGATACACTCACTCTTCCTCAATTGTTGTCACGATTGCCATACATCAGGCGATAGTATCAAATAATCACTTCAGTTCAATCAACGAATGAGCTACAAATACCGTATATGATCGCGCAATAACCGCAAGATTTCAACCCTGTATTTGCTCTGCGGTTTATAAGTGCGCCATACCGTGAGGGGAAATGAACTAGGCGCAATACTTGGTTACCCGATTCAAATTGAGGAGCGGCTTATAGGCGCCTGCGGTTATTACACGATCATATACGGTACTAGAAATCACAGCAGCTCACCTGTGAAATGCTAACATGTAACGCTGCGGCTCTGCAGTACTTCAAACAGCTGAAGCCTTCGTCTGGTCCCGATTCCATCAATTCCAATCAATCGTATAATCAATGGAATTTAGTGCGGAGGTACATAACCAAGGTTCCTGCTCCGAACGTTGACACTGTGGTGACCATTGGTAGTGTGGACAGCAGCCCAATCGTTGACATACCATGCCCACTGCAAAATGTAAACGAATTGCGGTTAAAAAGAGATCTCTGCGCTCAAGATTTTATCAACAACTAAATCGGGCATTCATTCCACTATAGTTCATAGGGTGTTTCGTAAACCGATGCGTCCTCCACACAATATTACATTTTGTTGGCCCCGTTACATTATATTGTCACGCATCACTGTGTGCAGGACCTGAATGATAGAGAAATTAGCAGACCATCATGAAGTCTGGAGAAATTTTCGACAAGAGTAGTGAGTGGTCTCGACGATTACAAAGTTTACAAGACCGAAATAAAATTGTAGCAAATCAAGCGTAAATTTAATTATCCCTAGAGTCATCAACAGGGAGGTCAGCCCCTAGCTGACATCTCAGCGTGGACCATCTGCGAGAGACTACGACAAAGAAGATGAAGAAGCATAAATTAAACACCATCTCAAACTAGAGCACTCGGAGAGCACAGACCTCCGCCAAGGCAGCTGAATTCTCTCACTGTGAAAATTTTTATTTATTAATTAATTAATTAAGTGGGAAAATTAATTAATTAATTAATTAATTAATTGCATCCGGATCACCACCACTATTGATAGATAGATATTCGCTGAGTGCAAGCGTGCAGGTGGGGGAGGACTGTGGTTGCCCCTTAGCCTGTGGTTGCGTGTTTGTAAGTCTACAGCCAGCGCACCTAGCGGAAGTGAACTGAAACGTGCATGTTCACAAACACACAAACCAACACTCAAACACACGCCGGTGAAAACATAACCTCTGCCAAGCCCCTGGCGGAGGTAACAACGCAGTGGAATACGTGAATGACGTAACACTCGTTCATTCATTCACGAGGTGAAGCACGATAGTTCATAGGTAACGGCAAGTGAGCAATGACTGAATATTTATGCTTTTCAAATACAGCAAGGTACTGTGAATTGTGTTCGTCACCCACGTGCCATTTGAGTAGGTCACACCCAACTTTAACCCGCCCAAATTTTTTTTATATCTGGCACCGTGGTGGGCTGGGCAAGAATTGTAGCCTACCTATTGGTGAAAAACTAAACCTTGAAGCCTTGAATAAACAGAAGCAATGTCAACGAGATAATAACGCTTTGCAAGTCAGGCCGTACCTCGATTTTTTATCTGAGAGTTTTTCACACCTCGGTGTCGGTTGCAAGTACAACCTGTTACCACGCACGCACACGCGCACGCACGAACGCAGGCACGCACGCACGCATGCGCGCAAGCATATACATACACACACACGCACGCACGCACGCACGCACGCACGCACGCACGCACGCACGCACTCACCTCGTACAGCCGTGGGCGAGCCGGGTTCCGAATATCATCACGGCACCGCCGATGATGGCGTGCGACTTAGTCACTCCCATCGCGTCGCCGAGAGACTGGGATGCACGAGCGGAGAGGTAGCCTCCCAGGGCTGCTCCTCCCATGAACACCACCTGCAAAGCAACGAGGAAAGCGAGTGTGAATCAGCGGTGGCGGCGACGGTCGCGCGGCGCCGACTTCCAAAGTTCGGCGAGGATCGCGTTAAATAACTGCTTGATGTCATGCTCAGAAAAAAATTACGAACGTCGACCCAGGGGGACGCATCCCGGCAGCACACAAAACACAAAGATTGCGTTCCAAAAGAAGCTCAGGGAAAACGAGCACGTGCAGGTAGATTCGCATCAAATATAACCGATTAGGGGATATCAATTAGGGGCCGCAGTGGTTCTTAACCATTTTTGAGTCATGGACCGCTTTGAGAATCTGCTGAAAGCTACGGACTCTCCACTGAAAGCTACACTAAATTCTCCAGAAAAATGCACATGAGCACATAAACACAATATTTTGCATACAATGGGGTTCACTGACCCCCTGATGCCCATCCACGAACCCCAAAGAGGTACCGTGGACCACAGGTTAAAAACCCCTGGATTAGGGGATACGATTTAGGATGCTTCGTCCTTTTCGCGTCGAGGGTACAAATTCCGCAGGTGCACGCAGGTCCTCCTTCCCGTTCTCTCACCTGCCACCAGTTGACCATGCCGGAGCGAGTCTTCGTCAGGTAAGGCGAGAGCTTCTGAAGCGGCTTGCAGCAGAGAAGCTGAGAGGTGACTGTGCAGTAACTCGTGCTCGCGCCGATATGCTTCGTCATCATCTGCACGATCGGGATTTGCAGCAGTCCGATGATGATGCCTGAAGCCATGCCAAGATGTCGTCAGTGTGATGGTGACACTACAGTTATCATCCTCTACAAGGTGCGAAATTAACGGGAGTTCGCTGCCAGACTCCCTGATTTTATATATGCAGGAGTCCGTGTGACTCTCTGAAAATTCTGCCATACTAACTAGTTCGTTCCAGAGCACGGCCTCGCCGAATTACCGTATTTTTTCAGCAAATGTCCAAAGAAAATTTTGCAGACATGCAACTGCATGAATCTTCAAAATAAGCGCATGCGTTATTGTTAATATCTTTAATTTTTAACTTCAGACTGCAGACTCCCTCATTTTGCCTCGGACTCCTTCTTTTTAAGGGCCTTGTTCAAAAGTTAATTTCTACCCCTGCTCTATCTGCATCTCTCATCTCTATATATCCATCTCTCATCACATATCTGTGTTAACTCAGGGTGTTCACTCGTCAATTCAATTCAACTCAATTCAATTTAATTTATTTACACATATTAATTACATTCTGGAGGTAACACATTAGTTAAGCAAGTTAATAGATAATAACCAAATAAAACTAAATAAATAGAAAGTGATGGAGGGCGAAATGACAATTCAGTAAATATTAGTCCTCAGGTCATATGGCACCATATATTAAAGTCAGGTAGTAATATGCTTGAAAACTGCGTAAAGGGTTGTGATGGGAACTATAATATAGGAAACAATTTCCAATTCGGTATCTAAACATGAATAGTTGGCATTATACACATGCAACACAGAAATGTAATTAACTGTCAAAATTCTAAATATATACAGTCACGTAGTAATATACTTGAAACCTGCATAAAGGGTTATGATGAGAACTATATATATAGGAATTAATTCCCAATTCAGTATCTAAACCTGAATAGGCAGCAGTGAACACATGCACCGCAGGAATGTAATTAACTGTCCAAATTCTATATATATACAGCCAGGTAGTAATATGCTTGAAAACTGCATAAAAGGTTGTACGGAGAACTATATAGGTTATTAATTTCCAATTCAGTATCTAAACATAAATAAGTAGCAGTGAACGCATGCACCGCAGGAATGTAATTAACTGCTCAAATTCTAAATACGTACATCGCTGCCCTACAATATTGTCACTCTACCAGCAATAATAAATCTAATTAGATTTCAATACTAGGTTGTGAACTTTTAGAATTCACTTTACCTGTTGAGTAAGGTGCCCAGGAGACTCGTGAGAATAAACCTACACTTGCATCGGAGACAAACACCTGTAAATATGATACCAAATTACATCCGCTATTGTCGTATTATATAATAACGTATAGATGGGCCGATGACCACATAAATATATGCTTGAAGCGCTAACATTTAAATCTGCGAGGTCAGCATCCGTATTCAACACTTACTAGGCATAACAATGCCATTAGTTAGAAAAAATTACATGATTGACAAAAATTTGAAGTCGAGTGTTAATGGCAGAGAGCCCAGGTAGGTAGCAGATTTTAAATGCCAAGAGATTTATCGTATAGTGAAAAAGCATATTCTTGCGGGTCTAAAACCAACAAAGATTACAATTTTACTTACGTCATCTTCCCAAGGAAAAGAGTATTCGAGGGCCATGACTACTCCTGCAGTAAGCAGTGCCAACGGTGGACCGAGGAAGAAATAGGGAGTTGAAAACATTGCCTGCAACCTGCAGGTAAATTTTAGACCATGGTAATACCCTGGGACCATGCGATAATTCAAACGAACATAAAAATGACAACGTTGAATTAAAACATTTAAAAATAATGGAGTAACCATTTATTATTGGAAAATATCGTCACATATTAAGTTATATTACGAAATATAGTTTTCGCTTCTCCGAAATTGGAAATCTCAAATTAGCCCGTGGACACTTCGCCACTGCAAAGTACCTCTGCACTCTTGCGCAACAAAAGTCAACAAACGAACTGCTACGCGGGGGGCGCGTGATTTAGATAGCGACGACCGGGGGGGGGGGGGGGGGGTCACGTACGTGTATTTCTCCGGGGACATCGGTGACTTTGGTGAGGTAAAAGCGGCGAAGAGAGGTTCGAGCAAACCATAAGTGAGAGCACCGATCATGCCTCCTAGCACCGTGTATCCTGCAAGATAAAACGCGAACGTCAATACGACGGCACGCACATACCGCGCGAGGCTGACGATTCGGAGACAGGTAGAAGAGAATTCTGTCGCTGTCGTAGTGTGCGAGGAAAACGTTGCAATGTTGCTTACCTGCATTCTCTACTCCTGCTCCTAGCTGAACAACTGCCAGCTCAGGTGTCTGCAAAGAATCGTACGAATATTCTATTGCACGAAGCGGCTTTCAAAACCATTTAGTCGAGTTTTGATCTTAAAAGTTAGTGGCTTTTCACGCGCAAAAGTACAGCACCGACTATGCATTTTATTCTATAGACGGAAGTATAAATGGAGGGATTGAGGGACACACTTGGCATGGTCAGATGTGCTAAACCCTTGCTGGTGCTTGATCGGCTAGTTTACATTCGATATCATTTTGCTCTTACATGATAGTCATGCCACAAGGAACATTATTCAAGTTTATATGCGCACAGTATGCACCACACGCTTAGAAATAGAGTGATACTGTATTGATCTCGTATTACTACTAAGCTACGCAAAAAATACGCACCACAAATTCCAAATAACATAGCTAAAATATAAAGGTAAATATGACCTTGAGGTATTATATCAAGAGCATATAAAGAAAGAGAGCGTACAACGGTGAAATGCTGAAACCATGTTGCAGTATTAGTCGAATTAAGAAACTTTGCCCGTTTTATTTTGACGATTCCTTGCGGTATTATTGATCAGCTGTCCTATCTTACTAATATAAAACAAACCGCTTGTCCCTACGATGCTCCTACGCTGAGATAATGAGCGGAGAAAATCTTGTATTTTCGCCGAAAACCGACTCAAGATCACTGTTTACTGCGACCCTCTCTCGCTTTGTGGCCAGTGTGTTGCTTCCGGTCGCCGCTGTGTAGCGCCATGGTAGCGCTGACTCATTACGTCAGTACTACAGAGATTACTACACATCCAGCGTGAGGTGGGCACAGGTGGGGGTCATCACTATGGCAATCAATAACAGTCGTCACTCATTTCATTTGTCAATCATTGACGGAAACACGCGAGGTTTCCCGAAGTTATCTCAAAGCGAGAGACAGTCGCAGTAAACAGTGATCTCGAGTCAGTTTTCGGCGAAAATACCAGATTTTCACCGCTCATTATCTCAGCGTAGGGGCATCGTAGGGACATGAGGTTTGTTTTTTATAAACAAGGTAGGACAGCTGATCAATACTGCAAAGAATCGTCAAAATAAAACGGGGAAGTTTCTTAATTCGACTAATACTGCAACATGGTTTCAGCATTTCACCGTTGCACGCTCTCGTTCTTTATACGCTCTGTGTGTGTGCGTGCGTGCGTGCGTGCGCGTGCATCTGAGTGTGCATCTGAGTGTGCGCATGTGCGTGTGCATGTGGGTGCACGTGTGTGCGTGCCCACGTGTGTAATCAAGGTTAACTGACATAGCAACATATTCTGAGACAAAGTCCACCATTTGCACTTAGTGGATACTGTCTGATAAACGACAGGCTCGTGATCTGCGATGTATCCATATTCAGCCAGCGTTAGGCAGATTGAAAATGACTACAGCTGCTGCATCATATCATCTAAGTGGAAAATAATAGATGTACATGTGGCCCTGTTGAGTAATTAATGGATCATCAGAATGACAGGTGTGCTCTGTCTCACCTGTAGCTAATAAGCAACCCTGCCACGAAATGCTCATCCACACTTTCTACTAGTGAAACAGCTGTACTTGACATACAAGATGAAGGAAAGTGAAAGGATGGCAATTTAACTATAATTCAATTAATTATTTTATACAGAATTCGGCAGAAGATTCAAACAATCGATCTGCATACAATTTCACACACTGGAATTATTTATAAAATAGTGAAATTTCATAGGACATCAATGCAATGAAATCTTTAACACTATGATAGTTTTTTTCATAGACATTATGTGCTCATATAATGATGGAAATTTCATTTCACAATAATAGTAAAGATGGCTTTATTGTGATGTGCATATGATATACCACCATAATATGATTCATAAAATTTTTCAGTTAATGATAACACACAGAATTAAGTTTCCACTTAATAAACACACACCGCCACGTTCGCTTGACGCCGTAAAGCAAGCGGTACCACTTGGTTCAACTTACAGCTCCACAGAGGGCAATGCCAATACCCTGAAGAGTTCCACCAAGAGTGCATGCCAACACACCCTTGTTGTTGTTCTTCAGACCGTTGAGATGTTCCTGCAGCATCTGGCGAGTTGATGGGTGGCTGTCTGGTAGAACCATCATCATACTGAACGACAGCATTCCTACGCAAGACAAAATCAACTTGAAGTGATAACGTCATTGTAAATAGTAAAAGTAGAAAAATTATCCCCTTTTTCACAAAATGGAAGTGATTCTGGTCACTTTTTATGATTAAATTTCTGCATTAAGCCTATGCTTCCCATTTTGCTATTCCGTTCAATGTGAACAAACACTCGTGACTGATACATAGCCCATAGCAAGCATTTAATGTCGTGATCAGAATATCAAATTGCCCAGATTTTTTGAATTTTTAACTAGTCGAAAAACAATTTTATCAGGTAAGAATTTGAGGATATATTTACTGCCATTGATACTTACTTTTTATGTAAAAAAATTGCAACAATTTTTTTTTACAAATATACACCATAGAAAATTCGTGACGTAGTCAATTTAAGTCGAATTTCCAGGCATTCTAAAGTATATCTCACGTAAATAATAAAGATTATTATCAGTGACAGTGAACAATTTAGAACACATAATATCAGGGCAAGGTGATGCTTCCCTGTGTGTGTACGTGCATTTTGGCTTTTTTCACATCATGATCAGTGACTAGTTGTAATATTATGGATCAACTCATGTTGTTAGTTGGCAGTTGGTATAATATTTATTGTTCTGAGGAGCCATCCTCAAACACAGCTCACGCTTCCAAGCACACGTAGCAGAGAGAGCGAGTCTCTCGTAGAATCTCGTACACTCTCGTGTACGTCATAACGTTACATCATTACAGTGGTTGCATTAGCAAGGACTAGCTTTCATCAACAATAATTAGATTTTCGTCCTCTCATCTCTACCCTTCAGAATTATATACTATACTTGTGATTACAAGTATCATCTTCTTTGTCTATCATTCGTCTTTAGGTCATTATTACAATCGATATTCCTCTTTCTGTTTCCTCAACACAGTCACTGTATAACGTGAAGTGCAAAATTACACAAATGTTATATAGCCTTACAGCTAACGTGGATCTATGACTAGCACTGCATACCCGTAGCTATTGCTGACAGCCAGACCTTGTCCATTAGAAATTTCTCCAATCTCAGTTGGGCATGGATAGTACCTGGCTCAAACACTGAAAAATATAGAAACATATAATTATAAACGATTGATATGCAAAAATATACTGAAATGCAGTCAAATCAGTGTTAGCAAACACTTTTGTAGAATGATCAACTGTCTGTAAAAGCCATTTTTTGGAATTTTTCCATTTTTTCAGAATGACCCTTTTATACAGGTTGGATTCCAGCTATATTTGCAATATGTGACCCGCTCCAGCATAATACGGACTAAGTCGCAAGTCATTGTTTTGAGTAATGAGCACGCACACATGTCAATTCTGAAAATGGCCTACCTGGACAAAAATGAGATTTTTACAAAAATAAGTTCCTAAGTGCATATTTAATCTGGATATATAGGTTTAGATATCTCTAAATTATTATGGTCATTTTTAATTTAAAAAAAATAAAATAAAATAAAAATTTTGAAGGGCCCTTGGATGGACAATTTACTTCGTCTTTGGAACTAATTAATGTATAATTGGGTTTAATGATATTAATGAGATCATTAGTAAATCAAGTGGTGAGCAACCATACCACACATCAAGCAAATTAATAATCACTTAAGGCTCAATGCTGTCAATCTATTCCACCAGCTGTTGATAATTAAATAATAAAAAATTTAAATCTGGAGCTGGACAACTAATTAACAATGTAACATGCATTTAACAAACGATGGTGAGAAGCTTGCTGTGATATGGCAGCAAACCTAGGTTATAACTGTTATATACGCCTTTGTGTGTGTGCTCACAGGATGTGGCAAGGGTAGATGACTTTGCAGTTTATTTCCACCCTTTATATTTTAAAGTATCTACATAATGCTACTCTGAAATTTAATACATTTGCTGCTGATATGGCAACTGCTGTGTAAATTTTTTAATTAAATCCTTCCCGCGCCTTCATACGCATAGCGCATGGTTACATGGCGCATAGGGCGGTGCCTATCTCCGTGTCAGTAACCCTGAGGCCCCGCAGCTGGTTTCACAGTAAATGCTACAGTAGGGGGTTAGTCCACTGGTAGCACTGCGAGTTAACTTGCCACACTCTATCTCTATTTGCTGAATGCTAAGGCCAAACAAAAAATAGGTGTGTTTCCGGTCGACCGACCGTCCCTAGATTATTAGGGCCGACCCTAAACTTTTTTTTCAAAAAAAAAAATTTATACTTTTTTTTTTTTTATTTTAAATTTGACAGACAAAACTTGAGATTTTTTACTACAAACACGTTCTGTACTTGCTTACTAACTTATCCCTACCTATACACCACTTTATAGCATGCATCAGAGGGATATTAGGAACCGAAGAATAAAAAAAATAATTAACAAAAAAAAAAATTCCCTACCTACCTACCCTACTTTTGTTTTCGATGCAATAGGAAACACACCTATTTTTTTGTTTGGCCTAAGCAGAGAAGCTGTGTGTACCATTTTTCAAATCTTTGGTATGACCCGGCCGGGAGTTGAACCCCCGACCTTCCACATACGAGGCGAGCACTCAACCATTGAGCCATCACAGTGGTACCAACTGCTGTGTAATTTGATATAATTTCTGTTCTATTCTGTTCTATCCTTTTTTCTAAATCTTTCTTTCTGTTAAACGTATTCCTTGTCCAATTCCTGTGTAAAAAATTACCAGAAACCAACGTAATCAGCAGGTACCACAGCATACTATAGGTTGCAAGTTTCGCCCGGGCCACTTCATCTTTCATTGCTCTAAAAATCTACATGAACTCTCTGACAGTTGTATTCAGGGCTCGAATTAACCGACGGCACCGACGGCAATTGCCGTCGGTGCCCCTATCAATCGCCGTACTGCCCCTGAAAATCCAACCCGACCTACGGCAGTCACCTGCCTTGCCCTTTTGTGTAATTGCCGTCGGTGCCCTTTAATCTACTGCCCTGGTTTCGTTTTTATTCGAGTCAACATAACACGTGCGCGTGTGTGCGTGCGTGCTGTTGTTGCAATGATGAGCTTGAAACCGATAGTCGCAGGAGGGAATAATGACAGCATCGGATAATTATACGCTCCTGATAGCGGGCATATAAAATTTCTTGTTACTGTACTTCAATTAGCAGAGGGGGGTACAGGGGTCGGTGTTACGGTGTAAGCTTACATGGGGGCATATTGTTTTGTACATTAAAAGCAAGACGATGTTGATGTACTAATTTGTTATGAGTTTTCCTTTATTTTACAAAAGTGCCTTGGTGCCCTTCTCAAATTTTGAGAGTTGCCTTGGAGCCTTTTAAAATTGCCTCTGCCCTTCCATTTTAAAGAAAATTTAAGGCGATTTCTCACATGCCCTAAGAAAATTGCCTTGCCCTTCTCGTCGCTTAATTCGAGCCCTGGTTGTATTACATTCTTTCATTCATTCATGCATACCAATGACAATGTTTTGTTTTCTCTGGATTGCACAAATGCACCCTAGCTGTCAATCCAATATTAAAGGTTCAACTATTAATATTTCCCTAAAACTGTTTCTTCTATTGATATATTCAACCATTCATCTTACATTTGATATATTTTTGAGATATCTACATGCCTGACATCCAGAAATCATAATATTATAATCACAGTTATCCACATCTACAGTAGGATAGTACAGTACGTGTGACACTGTACTATATCCTACTGTAGATGTGGATAACTGTGTGATTATAATATGATTTCTTATAAAAATCATAATACCATAACACCATAATAGTATCATAAGATCATAATAGTACCATAAGATCATCTGGAGCTGTGTGCTCCATGCCAGTGTCACTGGCATATGGAGCACACGTACAGCTTACGCTGAGACGGTCTATGTCACTCGCAGCTAGGGCCTGCATACCTCCCAACTCTCATTGGTTGATACAAATATAGTTAATTTTAAAAATTAAATTCTAAGTAGTGTTAGGGTTAGGATTAGGGTTAGGGTTAGGATTAGGGTTAGGGTTAGGGTTAGGGTTAGGGTCACAATGCACCATAAAAGGAATTATTAAAACAGGAGTTTCAGGCACGTGATTTGTATCAACCAATGAGAGTTGGGAGGTATGCAGGCCCTAGCTGGCGAGTGTCTATGTCACCCAGGAGTACTGCCAGGAACGATACCCTGGACACTAATCTAAATATGCCGACCGTACCTCGCCTACTCAATAACCGAAAGTCTAGGGAGATGCCCTATCAGCCGTACTCGCCTAACCCTAACCATATGAGATAGTTACACAGGAGTACAGTTCCGGGCAAGTACCCTCGGGAACATAGACGACTATCGAGCACAGCGTTACGGAGTTACCATGACATGAGGATTGTTAATGCCCAAATGGCGATAATAAATTATTATAATTATCGTTAGACCGTAAGGTGTACTAATGTATTTGAGGACGTGTATTCGCTCGAATGACCATGATGCTGTACTGTGAGCGGCTACAGGGCTAAAGTAACGCGACAGGCGAACATCACTGGGCCAGCGATCAAGCCCGCACAGAGCGAGCACACGGTGTGGGGGGCGGGGGCTGGGGGGGGGCGGGGGGGTAGGGGGAGGGGGGACCGTGGGGAAGAAGGGGGACGGTGCGGGGGCGCAGGGGGCGGGGGGGGGGGGGGGGGGGTGGGAGAGGGATTCGGCGGGGGGCGGGGGGGGGGGGCCGCGGGGGGGCGGGCGGGGGATCTGAGGCCGGGAGGAGGATGTGGAGATGCCGGCGGGCGGGTAGCGGGGCGGCTCGGAGACGCTCGAACGCGGACCCGTGGATAGGGCAGGCAGGCGGTAGGGCAGGGCGGAGTGAAGCGGATGGGGGGGACGAGCGCGGGGGGGCGGCGGGGGGGGGGGCGGGGGGCGGGGGGAGGGGGGTGGGTTGGGGGGGTCGGGAGGGAGTTGAGGGGAGGCGGGGGGGGTGGGGGGGGAGGGGAATGGGTAGGCGAGCGCCGGGAGGGGTTGAGCGGCACGAGCCGCGGGCGGCCATTGAACTATATATATACAACAGTTGTATATAATATACGAGGCTCAATGGCGCAAGCGCGATTTTGCTTGTAGCGTGCGGGCTTGATCTTGCTGCAGTTGACACGAACACGCAAGTTCTAAAAATTCCGGTTAAACCTTAACTGCTGACACAACAGACCCGCTTTTTTCTCAGGCACAACCCGCGCCGAAGAAAACATCCAGTGCCGGGCAGAACAATGCGGATCTTCGACTAGGATGGGGGTGTCCAAAACTACCACAAGCGAGAGTGTGCGGGAAGCAGAGTCCGGCGGTCTTATGTCCGGGTGGGATTAGACTAACCGGCTGCCATATTAGAAGCAAAAGGTACTCCCAAAGAAGAGAGCGAGCTACGGAGAGACGGTAATGAGTCGAACGTTTTTGTTTGCATGTTGTTATGAACAGGAGGTGAACCCGCGCTTGGTCTCCATTTTAGACAGCTGGCTGGACGCCATGACTGATTAATGAACACGTTAGAACTGATGTCCGGGGGAATTACGTCTAATGAAGCTTCGAACGCTCGTGTATAGCTGACAGAAGCGGAGATGAAACATTAAACGGAATTTAGATGCAAAGGTTACAGCGCTTCTTCCAGGACAGCTTATCGACAGTTTGCGGCGCCCTCTATTAGACGTATATTGAGAACCGGCCGGGATACCCATATCTGTCGTTCCGCGTTTCTTTCGCCGACGATTTTATGAAATCGGTATTATTATACAGGTATTATTATGGAAAATATAAATAATACGCACGTATAAACGACACTATGTTGTTTTTGTAATGTCGTTGTCATCAATTTACGTACATTCAAAGCACATTTTGATTTCCTAAACCCCTTTCGATTTCGCTGTGGCGTCATCAGGTCATTCCCGTTTTCTATGCCGTGTCATTAGCGATTAGGGTTCTATGAGGTTTAAGGTGTTTATATCAGTTAAAATTGACAGTTATATTGCCCAAGAAAGCTATACGACCAAACATGGATGATTCGGCTATAATCGAAGACAGTAATGAATTGAACGAGGTATATAGGTTTAATTGTGAAAGCTTATTATTCATTCATCTGCGCCTGTGTATTGAGAATGTCAAGCCGCCATTTTTGTAGATCGTATTTGTAGTACAGTGACCAAAATTTCTGTATTCAGTACTAAGGTTGGCTTAGCAACACATCACAGTAAGAAACACAAAGTTTAGTAACTAAATGCTAAACAGTACTATCTACGTATATATACATTCAATACATATATGCATATATTGTGAAATGGTTTTTACTTTTACTTTTAGTTTTAGTAAGTTTGGTTGCACAAATTCTGAAATTGCCACAATCCTAGTTCCTACTTTGGCATATTTCAATTATTTGGCGTTCGTGCCGTTTTCTTTCACAACTATGTTAAACTAAAGTTGTTTATCAGTTGACAGAATCACTCGGTAACACCTACGCAAGTTAATCAGTGCAGAAACGTAGTACTCTTCTGCTTTACGAACAACAATTACCGTCTTCGAAATCGCTCGTAAGTTGATAACCGCTCGTTCTGTTTTTGTTTCAGATGTCGACGGAGTTGAGTCCGGTGAGCAGCCCCGTGCAGGCCAGCCCGATCACGCGGATAATTCCGGAAACATTCAGAACACTGTCAACGGACTCGATGACGAAACTTCGTGTTCCGAGATCGCAGTTCACGTCGGAACGCGACACGTGTGCAGACTGTTTCGACCACTGGTCCGAATCGGACCAGGTGGAATTCGTGGAATATCTCATATCGCACATGTGCCACACTCAGCACGGCATCATCAATTCCTACTTGAAACCGTTGCTGCAGAGAGACTTTATATCCCTACTACCGAGTGAGTGTTGAATCGGGGATGGATTTTGTTTTCGGCTGATTAGGACTGGAAGCGATTCGATCGTGCGGGAGTGTGGTTAGAGATCGCTCAAGTTAGCCAAGTTCATGCCACTCATTTTATTGGAAGCAGTATGCCATTTGTGTACAGAAATTACGCGTGTATCAGGCCACCCTTAAAAAATCGTTTGTTTTCCCTTTACCTACTCGCCTCTCAGGGTACCGAGTAGGTAGGTAGGTGAAAAAATCTTTTTTATTTTGTTTTGACAAGATGTGCACGTATGTATAATGTATATTGTATATTCACTTTTGTGTATAATATGTTTTTGCATAACAAATTTGATTATTTTTTTTGCGAAACGAAATAATTTTTGTTTTGTTTAAATAGGCCAATAAAATGTCTCGAGTAGCGGCGTTTTGGCGAGTCGGTCGGTAAAGGGGAAATGAGCAATATTTTATCTTAGGCCTCAACAAACATGCACCCATAGTCCCAGACCCACTCTTACACATAAAACACACACATATGCCCAGGGTTTTAGTCTTCTGTGAGATAATATAAAATTGCAGGTGTCATGAAAGATAATGCATGTTTGTTTTTGCATGTAATTTTATGCGATTTAATGATTTCCTAAATGATATTGAAATATAATTATTTAACGGTAATAAATTTCAGGTAACAGTATAGAGTGTAGTGCATTTGTACATGTACATTCTGAGCCTGTTAGCAGTTAGATTTTGGGGTATACACAATTACCTAGTTACTGTAAGAAGGAACTACTATACGTTTTATTAAAATTTCAGAGCGTGGTCTTGACCATGTAGCGGAGAATATATTATCATACCTCGATGCAAAGTCACTGTGTGCAGCAGAACTGGTGTCCAAGGAATGGTACAGAGTGATCTCAGAGGGAAATTTATGGAAAAAACTCATAGAGAGGAAAGTACGAACAGACACGCTGTGGAGGGGTCTTTCCGAAAAGAGAGGATGGTAAGTTCCATCAAATTACAAAATTAAAGTCTGAATAAATATATATATGCATTAAAGAAGTATGTTATCGACATATAGTTTACTGAAAGACCACATCGAATTACTAGCTGTTTATATTGAAAAAAGAGGGTGACCGAATATACAATGTACACAGTAAATTACAATTCTACCAGTGGGAAAAGCACTAGAAATAATACTTGTACTGATGCGTTCAAACGCAGCGTGATTGATGTGATAACAATGAGGTAATATAAACAACCCCAACTCTATGTCTATAGGTCTACTAATGATGTCATTATTTTGTAATTTACGGTTTGCATTGTTTCAGGGCAAAATACCTGTTCAAACCAAAACCTGGCGAAACTCCAAAAGATCACACGTTTTACCGACGATTATACCCGAAGATAATCTCTGATATTGAGGTAGGAAAATCTAATAAAAAACTTTAGTCAGGATAACCTCTAACTTCTAAGCACCATGTAATGTGGAAAATTCTTTCCTGTTTAGTACGCTTTAGTTCTATTCAGTATCACCATTATGTTTATGTTTTCTGGGTGAACAAGTTGTATTAGATGTGGCAGTTCTTGCAAGGCTATTCATTTCGAATTAAGTAAGGTTATGTAAATTAATCAACTTAATTAAATTAATTTAGGTTAAGTAATTAATTAAGTAAGGTTACGTTGTTGAACGTTATCGTCATTTCTGTTTCGGTCTGCTTTCTTAGCAAATGTGTTATCTAAGAAATACTAGAGTATTCCTTAATATCATGTCATTCTAGTACTAAGAATTACTCAAACAAATATATACATTATTATGATTACATTTAGAAATACTCTCTAAAATGTAAAAAAACGTTTTTTTAGATTTATACATTTTAGTGTATTAGGCTTAAGTTATTATTTCACAGTATGATATAATTTGTAACACTAACAGCGACTTAATCAGCATATAGACCATGTCGACATGAGTGTCTGTATGCAGTCCATGAGTTTCATCTCTATAATATGTAGGTTTGTCTGAGAACGGTTTGCCGGTTTCCAGTTTTGCGGTGACTCACTTGTGAGCATGTAATATTCATGTTTGTGCACCTACCTATATTACACGTGTCTGTCTACCTACCTTCACATATATCACACTTGAATAAACGTGCACAGATCATCTGACCTGCTTTCAATTGTACGGCAGGCTTTTGTCAAGTGAAACGGGTCGTGCTGGTGTGATTTAAAAACACTCCTTTGTGCTTGGTTTTTATTTTCTGGTTATAATATGCCAATACAATTTGTACTATTTCTAAATAGCTAATTTTATAGCACCCACTGGCAAGTTATATCTATCCATGCGTTCCTCGGTCTCTACATTTCCACTCTATTCCCGCTTCTCCTTTTTCTCCTTACCTGCCGCCCTTCCACTCACCACCATCCCTGCGGCCCTGCCCCCCCCTCTCTCTCTCTCTCGCTCTCTCTCTCTCTCTCTCTCTCTCTCTCTCTCTCTCTCTCTCTCTATCATTCTCTCTCGCTGTCTCTGTCCCTGCCCCTCTCTCTCTCTCTCCGTCTCTCTCACTCACTTTCTCTCTCGCTCTCTCTGTCCCTCCCATCTATCTCTCCTTCTCTCCATGTCTGTCTGTCTGTCTCTCTCTCTCTCTCTCTCTCTCTCTCTCTCTCTCTCTCTCTTCTTCTCTCTCCTCCCTCCCTCCCTCCCCCCCTCCCCTCCCCTCCCTCTCTCTCTCTCTCTCTCTCTCTCTCTCTCTCTCCCTCCCTCCCTCCCTCTCTCCCTCCCTCCCTCCCTCCCTCTCTCCCCCCTCTCTGTGTGTATGTACAGTTATTCTACCGATGACTAACGGTAGCATCACACGAACTGGTGCGTGTAGTTTAGTCATGTGAATGTAATCGTGTTTACACATGTTTCTTGCAGGCGATCGACAACAACTGGAAGTGTGGCAGACACAACCTACAGAGAATCCACTGTCGCAGTGAGAACAGTAAGGGCGTGTATTGTCTGCAGTATGATGATACAAAGATCGTCAGCGGACTGAGAGACAATACGATCAAGGTGCGTGCGTAGGGTTCTAGGGACAAATACCCCCGGACAATTACCCCCCGGATTATTACCCCCTCGGACAATAGCCCCCCGGACAATTACCCCACGGACAATTACCCTCAATGCCATTTACCCTCCCGGACAATTACCCCCTCGGACAATCACGCCCCGGACAATAGCCCCCTGGACAATTACCCCCGGACATTTACCCCCCGGACAATTACCCCCCGGACAATTACCCCCCGGAAATTTTCCCCCCGGACATTTACTCAATTGTTGTTTATTATTTATTGTTGAGCAGTGTCGAGTGATACAGGGAGGTGGTCGAGGAGGAGGGAAGAAGGTGGTGGAGGAGGAGGGGAAGAAGGTGGGGAGAAGGTGGTGGAGGAGGAGGAAGGGGAGAAGGTTGAGGAGGAGGAGGAGAGGAGGAAGAGGAGGAGGTGGAGGAGGAAAATGGGAGAACGTGGAGAGAAGGTGGTGGAGGGGGAGAAAGTGGTGGAGGAGAAGGAAGGGGAGAAGGTGGAGGAGGAGGAGAGGAGGAGAGGAGGTGGAGGAGGAGGAGGAGGGGAAAACGTGGGGAGAAGGTGGCGAAAGAGGAGGAGGGGGAGAAGGTGGAGGAGGAGGAGAGGAGGTGAAGGAGGAGGAGAAGAGGTGGAGGAGGAGGGGGAGACGTGGGGAGGTGGTGGAGGAGGAGTAGGAGGAGTTAGAAGGCGAAGGAGAAGGTAGAGGTGGAGGAGGAGGGGGAGACGTGGGGAGGTGGTGGAGGAGGAGTAGGAGGAGTTAGAAGGCGAAGGAGAAGGTAGAGGTGGAGGAGGAGGGAGAAACGTGGGGAGGTGGTGGAGGAGGAGTAGGAGGAGTTAGAAGGCGAAGGAGAAGGTAGAGGTGGAGGAGGAGGGAGAAACGTGGGGAGGTGGTGGAGGAGGAGTAGGAGGAGTTAGAAGGCGAAGGAGAAGGTAGAGGTGGAGGAGGAGGGAGAAGAGGAGGAGGTAGAAAAGGGACAGGTGGTACAGGGAGGAGGTCGAGGAGGAGGGAAGAAGGTGGTGGAGGAGGAGGGGGAGAAGGTGGGGAGAAGGTGGTGGAGGAGGAGGAGGGGGAGAAGGTGGAGGAGGAG